TGAGGCTTATTTTGTAGCATCATTACTGTACTCTGTGACTGCCACGCGTGAGCCTTATTTTGAATNAACAAAATCAACTCTCTGTATACATATATCAGGTGACCGTTAAGGCTCATGGGCCTCTTGTTTTCTAACATTTTCCCCATTATCTCCTCTGCTGGAAAGGAAAACGTAGACGTCAGCTTATTTGCCAATCTTATTAAAATTCTGCTCGTCATTGCTATTCATATGACGGTAATGATGAGCCATGTTATAATCAGACAGCTCCTTTGATTGTCTTTCAGAAATCTACCATAGGACACATATTCTAATTTGATTAACCATTAAGATTGTCAGCGAGTCTAGCGTGCTTGTCGGTAACGAAATAGCTTTAAACCAGTAATTGATTCAAGTCTATGCGAGCAAATTCACGAGAGAAATTAATTTAATTTTTGTTTGTCATAGAACACATCTGATATCGAATTCCAAATGGACTGATTGCTAATTAGCAGGTACCTCGATCCAATAGCCTACACACAAAACTTACTGGTCGTTAGATACATTTTAGCTGAAGTCTTTGGCCAAAGCAATCACTGGTTTCACAGCAAACTTTCTTCAACTCAATTTCGAATTCCAAGTCAAGACAGATTGCATGTATAGGGAAATAAGATTAAAACTGTGCACACAGCCTTGGGAATCGATTGAATCATTATTTAAAGTTTCTTTGAATAGCTTTGAATTAAGTTCTGGCCTTGAACAGAATTTAGTTTTTGTCCGAAGTTTGAAAAGGTTCTACGGAATTTCAACACTGCGCAGGCGTTATCGATATCATAAATAGTAATTGAATCAACTTCCGGTTAATTCTTTATATTTGATAAAAACGTGTCGATTTTTTTACTTCAAAGCGTATTTTTAAAAGATTGTGAGATAATGCAATAGCATGGGATTGTAGTAAGTGGTTATGGTTGTAGAAAGAGAACTTAGGTGTTGTACACATGTGTTATGTCCGTCTCGAACTGGACCGTGGAGACTAGTGATGATGGCAGATGATATAAATCATTATCCCAGCATCTATGTCTGGTGGCTTCCGTCCATTGTAAGTAGACAATATGTGTCCTGGGGCGCCAGCCATCACGTGAGAGACATTATCGGACCAGAATACGGGTTGTATGTTCTGTTTTCTTAAATACTTGACGGCCAATCAACTCGGCAGTTTACGCATGACCAACCGACTACAGTCCTAAACGATTCCAAAACACCAAACAGAAGAAAGGACAAAAGAAATAGCGATATTGAAGAATTGTGGTAAATCTGAAATAACATGTAACCTTTAACGGAAACTACAATGACAAAGTAAGATTATCTCAATGACATCAACCAACTAATAACTTGATAGGCGCAATGCTGACCAAAGGAGAACGGGCGCCAATAAATCTGATGGCAAATTAATTATTAATGTAAAGAAAACTATAAAAAAATACATCCAGATGATTCTGTCATCATGAACTTTAAAGTGAACTTGGTAGGACGTCATACTATTAAGATCATAATATTAGGCATCTTAGTTTGTAGGAGGAAGTTATCAAAGGTATTTGATCCCTGTGACCTTCAAATTAGGTCAAAGTTATTCTTGTTTGCCAACTATAAGTTAGCACAGCACTGAGTCGAGAATCGAGGCATCTCAATGGTTTGGAGACAGTTTATAACAACTAACTACATCTAAAAAACCCATTAATCATTTATCTATAGTTTTGGTTCTTTATAAATTATCTTTCGATGGTTTTAACATATTATTTGACACTTCCAACCTCGGAAAGAGAAAACGTGTTTTCGCAATTTTTGTAGCATTCCATATCCAAGAATATCGTGTTTTTCAGAAGTCGTCGTTTATTTTTATTTTTTTTTAATTTTTGACCTGAGTGACCTTGAAAGTACGTGAATCCTTTTAGATTGATATTGATTACATTAAATGTATGTCCAGAAAACTTTGTCGCAATTCATCTGAGTAAACTACTAGCCAAATATCACGCGTTTACGTATTGTGTGGCTGTCTGTTCTTCAGAAGAAGCTCAATCAACAGAACAGTGTGACATAGAAAGAAGTCTTAAATCACTTGCAAAACATTGAAACAATTAATTTCAGCAAGCTGCCGGCCAACTATTATCAATATAGTTTTTGGGTGGAAAGAAAAGTGGTGTAATGTTGTTGAAATATGTGGCTCCTATATCCTTTTAATTTGTATCTTGTTGCTTCTAGTGTATTGGGTGAGGTGTTCCGTGCAACAGACGTTTAGACAATCCGATGTGTCATTCTTGCCAGTCGATACTTTGGTCTGTTCTGAAGGAAGGAAGCAGTTTATTTTCGATTATGTCAGTGTCGTTTTCCCGTATCCATTACCAGCTTTTTTTGTGGTCTGTATTGATGGGCGAATTCGTAGCATCAAGTTTCAGTATTGTTACGCAACAGGCAGACGGTAATTAAGTCATCTCGACCGAATCAATAAAGAGAAGAAGTACATGATCACTAATAACGACCTGGCCTATCTCTCGTGTTTATCTGCTGCCTGTAGCATTTTGTAATGGACTCAGTCGACCGAAAGGAAATTTGTCGTCGGCTTTGTTATCTATTTGGTACATTTATCGTTTCATATAGCAAATCGATTCTACACCCAACTCCTTGGTCCGTATGAAATCGGAAACCGTCGGCAATTTCCGTAAACAAGAAACGTCAAAGTGCCGACGGTTTCCAACCAGGCCCGTATATAATTATATGGATCAAGGGTGGGGAATTGTAACACGCTTCTAACATATAAAGCCGTCTAGCTCTCTAACATCAATTTGGAACCATATATAACTGCAAGTTTCTAACAAAAACATATTTATTTAGCTTATCCCGTTTTTGCAGATGTGTTCATGTTTCTTACCCCTTAAGTAAACGTCGAGCAACATGTAATGCTTTATTGGCGGTTGTAGACTGGCAATGCATGTTGATATTTTGAAGAAATCAGACAAGAAAATTCGTGTATAAAAGTATTTGTTAAATATAGAAAAAGAAACCGATCGTCTGCAAGACAGCCATTAATATCATTAATCGATACCTCTCAGCACAATCAAAATCCCATTTCGTCGGTTTAATCATTTGTTGTCACATTTGGTATCGATAGACCAGTTCGTCCCAGAATCACATTTCTTATTTCGCACATCAATGTGGCGGACACTTCACAAAGCACTTCCGCCAGAAGTTGAGACTACAGCTGCCACGTCCTAAAGTCCAATAAACAAATACCGTCGGTCGTCGGGAGCTTCTGAACCTCGACTGATGGAAGGATGAGTGTTATATCTATGGAATCAATACAAGATGTCTCTAGCAGTGACACGAAACTGCCGAATGTGTCTCAGTTCAAAGAAATGTACGTTGCGCGCGTCCGACATATCGTAAAAAATATCAGCTGGCATCCGTGATCGATGAACACTTGGATGTTTATATACGTATGTCTGTAATAGGACGAAAACTGGAGTAGTTATAACTGTGTTCTGGGAGTCACATTGTAGATTGTTGATGCAGACTTTTGCTATTACGAAGTTCAATTATAACTCGTATCATCCTTTTTTATTAGATTACATCGACCAGCGGGCGGTAAACACGTCGTGTCACCAAAGAGTGATTTACACGAGTCTCTGACAATAATACACGGACTAGTATATATATATATAAAGTGATTTTATAATATGTAGAGAGCCAACAACTTAAAAAGAACAATTTTGATACGACCACCTAGTTCGTTAACATACACCGACCTCATCTTGATTTCATTTGGGCAGTGATGTAAGACCGATCAATATTTCTAGAGCCACCAGACCCTGTGAAGGTCACTGCTTCGGAAATATCTTCACTTGACGATCCGTGTACACTAATGTTTGCACGACCACAATCCCATATTCTACACTGCGTGTTCATAAGTTTACTGTAGTGTTGCAATATTGTTTTTCAATACAACCCCTACATGTTTCTGCTCTGAGACGCCATTTGTCGAGTTGACCACGGAAATCGTTTGAGACGACCCAGATATTCTGCACTTGAACGCCATATCTAGTAACGAGTAGCGAGGACATTGGATTAATCAAAGGTATAGCCTTACGCGGGCACATAATCCACGACTAGATTCATTTGGAGTATAGCGGAGCTGTACACAGCCTTACACGACCAGGGATACTGCACCAGCTGTGTACACGGACATGGTAAGTTTACGTGACGAGGCAAGACCACACCCTTATTGACTGATAAAGGTTTATAGACTAGGGCTGTTATCAATTCTGTACTTACATGTTTATCAAATGATAGAAAGAACGATTATATTCTTGTCATTTTTTCATGTTTTGGTTTATCACATTATTAAGGATTGATGCATATATAATTTCAGAAAAAATGTTAAAATGGTAGATTTAGTCTGCTCCGAATATGTTCTGAGTGAAGCACAAACATAAGAGATAAAAAACAAGGATGTTCGCTTTTTTCAATATAAATATATAAGAGTGTGTACAATACATAATGTTGATAATCGCATATATAGGAAATCCCGTGTTGTCGGGTCATAGTATTCTTTTCTCTAAGCAAAGTGTATACATATAATAATGATGTTCAATTTCCTCAGCAACAAATATTCTGTACATTTTTGCTGGGCATGTCGCGTGGTTACTATATCGCCTGATATATGTTCATAAACCTGGTGGCACCAAATAGCCTATAGTTATATAGTTATAGCGCTGCAAATGTCCTGAAATTAGTTTCAGACGCTGCATCTCCAACCAACTTAATCAATTAATTAGAAAAAAAGGGTAGTCTCTCTATCACAGGGAACTGAGAATTAACACCCGAAGAAAAATGTCAACCCCATGGGCTAAATCCGCGGGGATAGTTTTGTTATATATCTAAACCCGTTCCTTTACTTTAATAATATTCTCCAAATAATACCGTGTCTTAACTTTCACGTCCCTGAGTGTATATTTTAACAAAAAGACTATTATATTGGTATCAAGGTGTACGTTCTTGCGCAAATTCTTTTCTTGCTACAAAACAATAAATCACAGTTCATTGGCCCGTTACCTAATCCGATGTAAGGGTCGGTAACTTAAATAGATAAGTTCTGTAATTGGCAAGTGTAGAGTATGACTACAAGGAGAAATATATCTCCAATCAATCATCGACATTTTGCTTCAGTTAGCCGTTTATTTTTAACAAGTGATCCTAAAGACGACGTGTGCCGTATGCCTGTATATACATTACTAAGTGTCTGAGTGACCAGTTAAACCGCGCTTTTGTATATGAATTGGCCCGTGTTCAAACCTACATAATCTGTGACCCGCTGAAGTTTAAGTTTGTGTATTCACTATACCTGATCGACGCTATGATAGGACCCCTTTTTATCAAGTTTTTTCATTATAAAGATACATGCAAGAACAACCAAACCTAAAGTCAAGCTGCACCTTTAAATGACACGGCGGTTCAAGGACTGCTACAATGCAAGTGCAATGTTGAGACTGTATTGAGCGTTTTCTGAGACATGAATGTTTCTTCCACATGTGTGAGGTGGTAAAACGTTGTCAACGGTGACGATTCTAGAAGGCATTGGCATCCGTGTGTATTACATGCACAGTAGTAAATAATGGCTTTAGTACAGCACAAGCAACCGATTTAAAGATACTGGGGAGAATATGTAACCGTACAGTAGATTTCCAGCACAGTAGGTAATAATCAGCGAAGAGCATACCCATTTAATAAATGATGATCGTCCTGTCATTTTACCCCGTTTTATAACTGAGGAACTTTCTATTACGTACACATTTTATAACTGATGAATTTCCGGTCCCATTTTCCCATTTTCTGATTAGTTAACATGTGTATCAGTGCGATGGGACTTAAACGGCAGTTGGTGACTGCAAACTTTGCCGACCATATTTACAAATTATAAAAGTGATAACTTCCGGTTATGTTTACCTTCAGTGTATCTTATTGCTGATGAACTTCCGGTCATATTTACCTATATTATAACTGATGAACTTCCGGTCATATTTTCAATTTTATTACTGATTAAAACACCCTTTAGAATATGTGTATCAGTACCATAGGACTGACAGGGTAGTTGGTGACTGCCGAACTAACTGATAAACTTCCGGTCATATTTACCCATCATATAACTGATAAACTTCCGGTCATATTTACCCACTATATAACTGATAAACTTCCGGTAATATTTACTTATTATATAACCGATAAACTTCTGTAAATTTTTTCCACATCGGCAAAAAGGTTTCGCCGTATACAACACAAAGCCCCATGTAATCGAATGAAAAGAATGGTTTGTATATTCTCACTCGTCTTGAAATAATTATTTACATGCTGTATAAGATGTTTATTCACCATTACTGGCACTTGGTATTATGGCTAAGCCTTATAATGCCACAGAGCTGAATTGGCTGCACCAGTGTGCATATATACAGTAAGTCCTTTGTATACACTGGCGACTTCAGACGTAACGCAGAAACATTGGAATAGGTTTTTAACGGTATTAGTATAGATTTACCGAGATATCGGCGAGATTCTGACTAACCAATCTACAACTAAACATCTCCGATAAAATATGATGACAGACAGCCCCAATGCTGTAATAAATGTAAATCCATGCTGGCTGTGTGCAGGCATTTTTTTTATTGTAAGCAGAAGAACGTGTTCGTTATTATAAGTCTGAATTATTAATTCATAACGAGATCGATACAGGCTCAGCGGGGTTTCAGTTTCACACGTCACCTTGTTCGTGATGTCATTACCGAGTCTGTTCTAGGAAGAAGACTGTTGGACGCCAGGGACGTTAAACACAACACGTGCACTTTACAAAAGTTTGTTATGTAAATTGACTCTGCTGAGATGTCTTAGATTGTCACAGGACACGCATAGTTACAGATAGACAGCAATTATTAGTGCAAGAGATGGCCTCTTGTGGATGTGCAATAGAAAGAGGTAACATAGGCTTGTAAAATACGTATTTTAAAAGTATACAGTAAACATTATCTTAGGTGGGTTTTGTGTTTCTAACCTGTAACGATGAGAATAACGAGCTGCTCATGTAGTAAATACACATTACGGTACTCTGTGACTGCCATGCGTGAGGCTTATTTTGTAGCAACATTACTGTACTCTAAGACTGCCACGCGTGAGCCTTATTTTGTAGCGATATTACGGTACTCTGTCCACGCATGAGGCTTATTTTGTAGCATCATTACTGTACTCTGTGACTGCCACGCGTGAGCCTTATTTGGTAGCGATATTAGGAATTTACGGTACTCTGTCCACGCGTGAGCCTTATTTTGTATCGATATTAGGAATTTACGGTACTCTGACCATGCGTGAGGCTTATTTTGTAGCAACATTACTGTACTCTGTGACTGCCACGCGTGTGCCTTATTTTGTATCGATATTAGGCATTTACGGTACTCTGTCCACGCGGGAGGCTTATTTTGTAGCATCATTACTGTACTCTGTTACTGCCACGCGTGAGCCTTATTTGGTAGCCATATTAGGAATTTACGGTACTCTGGCCACGCGTGAGGCTTATTTTGTAGCATCATTACTGTACTCTGTGACTGCCACGCGTGAGCCTTATTTTGTATCGATATTAGGAATTTACGGTACTCTGTCCACGCGTGAGGCATATTTTGTAGCGATATTACGGTACTCTGTCCACGCGTGAGGCATATTTTGTAGCGATATTACGCTACTCTGTCCACGCGTGAGGCTTATCTTGTAGCGATATTACGATACTCTGTCCACGCGTGAGGCATATTTTGTAGCGATATAACGGTACTCTGTCCACGCGTGAGCCTTATTTTGTAGCGGTATTACGGTACTCTGTCCACGCGTGAGGCATATTTTGTAGCGATATTACGGTACTCTGTGACTTCCACGCGTGAGCCTTATTTTGTAGCGATTTTACGGTACTCTGTCCACGCGTGAGGCTTATTTTGTAGCGATATACGGTATTGTGTGACTGCCAAGCCTGGGGCTTATTTTGTAGCGATATTACGGTACGATGTATCTGGAACATTAAGTTTATGTTGTAGGGACATTACGGTAAACGTCCTCTAGGAGATAAGAACTGACCCCGGCGAATGGAAGATTGCCGTTCTTAGCTGTTTACAATTCCAACACGTTTACACCTGAGAATAAATTAAAAGTTATGAAGATAGAGGCCGACACAATGATTACGATTTATATAAATGTATTATACCGACAACACAACTTTGGAATTCAATTGAGATTGTAAAACACTGTAGATAAAGTTTCCAGGCCATATTACGCTAACTATAGTGTACCTAGTTTTTCTCTGATGGCAAAATATTCAACTATCTTTTCTCACCCGACACTTAAATGCATATATTGATTTCCTGGTAGCAACAAACAACTTGGGATAGTCTTCGATGTTATTTACCAGTCCCAAATGTTTTCTCATAAATTGTTTCTTGGTGAAGTAAACTTCTTTGCATCCATTTGGTGTTCTAGCGGGTCGCTATTTAAATAACAGTACAAACGGGACACAACATCAAAGTATATTTAAAAGAGAAATGTTTATTTACAATAAAACTGCACACTTCAGCATTCAGAAGGCCTAATTAACCCAGTTTAAGGATGCCGACACCACTGCAAACATTGTAACTATACGTTGAAAACTTCTTTTCCGGTATGACTATAGCATTGATAAACCATTTATGAAAATTAATTCCTACTTTGTGTAGCTTTTATGAGAAACAATAAGAAAGATTAAACAAACAAAAAACAAAACTACAGTATTATGAGTGTCAATCTGATTAAAATCACATGTTACATGGCTTCGTTAACTTCGTACTACGCCTGAACATCTGAGTGTGCCGCGGTCAGGGTCACGTTCAGGTGACTTTTATATTTATAAATACTCATTAAATTTTGACCAATCAGAGACCCTCTTTCAAAAGGGCGCTCGGAGATGTAACAAATACGTCGGACATTGATGAGAATGATGCGAAAGTTCTACAGTTATTTGAGATCGTCTGAAACCCGAACAGAATAAAAATCGAAGCTTTATTAGAGAAGAAAGACTGTATGGTGGTGTTGCCTACGCAATTATTACCCAATGGGTACGTTTTCCTTGGCGTCGTAGAAACGTCAGTTCCCGCCGCCATATTCGTTTTGGAAACTAATCTGTTCGATACCCCTCGCTATTTATTAATCAACCATGATATTCCGATTCGCTGGCAAACTTTTGCCAGCGCGCCTCTGATTGGTTCACCTAAAGGTCACTTGAACGTGACCCTGACCGCGGCACAGTCAGATGTTCAGGCGGAGCCATGTAACAGATGATTTTAATCAGATTGTATGAGTGTAAAAAGGTAACGAGAGCAGGCATGGATCAAACCCTTTGACCTCCGTTCATATGAATTGTCACTCTAATCAGCGGACCTGCCTTGTAGTAGTGCTACAGTTATTTCCAAAACGACTTCAATGGAAAGTAACTGTATGTAAGGGAAACTACGATCGTTTAGTGAAGGGGTCCTTAACTAAACGACGAACAGTTACAGTTCATGCACACTGCTTTGGCTGTTACATGACAACATCAATATAAAGTTTTGTTTACCAGTGAGATGCTTCTACAGTGATTAAGTGTTCATTAAATTCACCCAAACATTGACCTGAATGTTTCACCACATATAAACCCGCAGCTTCACAAACATGAAAGTAGCTTGTTATCCTGTTGTGGCCATTTGGAACATCAACATGAATGAGTAATTTTTTTGTTTTTTTTATTTCGGTAATTATAAACAGAGGTGCTTCAAATCCGAACCTGGCTTATTTCAGTTAATCTAACCAAACTTAGTGTAAATATATGTACAGCAAGACTTAGTGTATCAGCTTCTAGCTTACTGAAATAAAAAGCATGTGTTGAAACACGGATATTTACCCTAATACTTAAAGCTGAGATCAAATAAACATTTCCTAAAAAGAACAATAATTAGCCTCAGTCAGTTTACACATTTATTACTTTTGCAACACATATATTTATAAAGAAATTGAATTTGAAAACCTGAGTTGACGTATTTGGAAGCTGACAAAGCTTTGCAGAACTTGACAAACAATCTTAATCAACGGAACGTTTATAAGTAGATACCGTTAAAACACGTATGATTGATTTTGCTATCGTTTTGTTCACAACAATTTCCCATGTGTAAATAAAAGCCTAGTGAAACAGATGGCTAGAAATAAAGTTTCAAAATAAAACAAACAGGATTCGTAATGTAGTTTTAGAGTTGCCATGTTTGAAGATGGTTTCACTGATTTTTAGCAATATTCCATTATAGGAGAGACACGCTATGGTTATCTTTTCAGGTTAAAAGAAGCTCCTAACTTTTGATTAAAACATCTATGGAATCTTATTCAAAAGACACATGTCAGAATAATTAAAATTATCAAAACAAATTAACTATACAAGATAGAAAACACATGTAATGGATACGTCAAAGAATATTTACTGCACACAATTCTGTGTGACACTTAAAATAATACAAATCTGCGGAAATCTTCCAATATGTTACCTTACTGCCTGGTGTTAAAGTCATGTGGTAATCTAACTGGGATTGAAAAGCTTACAAGATAAATGTTCAATTCCCGTTTGTGTTAAAAAAACCTAAGCCATTATCATGTATTATGTAATTGAAAATATATATTCATACCGATGTATTTCGTAAACCTTGAAAAATGTTATGAGAAACCGCAGTTACTTACATTTTATATAGTCGAGTTATTCATGTATAATATTACCNGGGGGGGGGCATGTGACGTAGTTTTGATAAAGGGGTACACACAATTATTGAACATGTGGACAATTGCTGCATGTATTACTAAGGTACCAAACACTGGTTAACTGTTGTTATAGGGCTAGTCTGTTTGTAACACTAAAGTCTTAGTTTCCTATTTAGTCGCCTCATTGAATAGTTACAGACCAACATTTATATGCACGGAGACCCAATAGAATCAAGTATTAGTCTGAGTTTGCAAAATAATAGCCACAGCCTTTTTGATTATTTTACAGATGTTTAAAGATTAAGTGTTTTCTGTTATTTGAACAAAACACGAACAACTCATATACAGTAAACGGACGACAATAGTTCTCCATTAGCTAGAACTAGTCACAGGGGCCTGTGACCCGGAAGTACGAGATATGAGCTGATTTATAAAAAGTAAAAATGTGCTCGTGTAAATATAAAGGGTCTTTGCGTAACTATATTTAAAGCTAAGACCTCAAACAAACAAAACAGTTATACGTACACATCTCATGAATTGTATGACCGGCCCCTGTGGAATTTGCTCATAAATGATAAACCGGAAGACAAAAAATCTCCATATTTATTTCATTTGTAAATGTTAACAACCTGTATTGGTATTTATAATGAATATATATTTAGTCTTATCATGTGTGTTTTTGTGTACATATACATCTATTAATTCAGACTTTCTGTTTTAGAACGCACACTAACGAGACGATGGTATACGAGACACCCCGTTCTTCCCGTTCGGAGTCCCCCGTGGCCCCTTATCCCGGGTTCGACATTGACGGGACTCGCCTCTTCCCAACTCCTATACCCAGAGTCACGTGGCAGGGAGAACCAAACGCAATCAAAAACCGCGGTACAATTGGAAAGTGGGTGTTCGATTATTATGCAGGAAAGTACGACTCGCCTCGGCCGGAAGCAAGATGTCCGACTCCGGCGGCGAAAGATAATCTTGACCACGGCCGAAACGGGACGGTCGCACGACTATTGAGAGATTCAAACACCGCCCGACCCTCTACTGCTCCTCCAAGGATCAAATCCGAAGCAGAATCTATTGCAAGCCTTAGTCGAGGTAAGCGTATGAAAGTTATCGTGCAGAAGTATGCCCAGTCGGCACCAAGTCCCAGAGTTCCAAGAGTTAAACCGGAAGCAGAAGATCATGCTCAAGTTCATAAAGGAGGACGAATGGACAAACTGGTTCACAGTTATGGATGTGTCACTCCGTCACCTCGTCCTGTTCCCAGAGTAAAATCGGAAGCAGAGGGCATATCAGATCTCAGCAAAGGAAAGAGGATGAATATAATCGTTCACGATTACGGTCGACTTCAGGTAACAACACGTGATAAAGCAGTACCCCGGGTTAAACCGGAAGGGGAAGATAATGCAGATTTGGACCGCGGTAAGCGAATGGATAGGATTGTTCACAGCTATGGACGTGATCCGCCTGATCGGGAAATACCAAGGGTGAAACAAGAAGGTGATCCAAACTACAAACTCGATATGGGTAAGCGCATGTGCACTTTAATGCATGACGTCAAGAAATACCCGACGTCACCATGCCACGTACCACGTGTTCGATCTACGGAGGCATCAACCATCTTACGGAAGAGCCGGGGTCAAATGGCACACGTGCTACGCCAGTCAGGTCAGCGCATGTGCATTCACAAACCCGGCGTCCAGAAACATATGTTCGAACGACCAAATTCAAAAATGATGTGATTGACCAAAAGTGTGTTATTATTCATTATATAAGACCACAAAAAGTGATCATTTGTTTGTTCCAAGGATTTTAAGAAAAGGAGAGAGAGAAAGAGAGAAATGTGAATAATATGTTCTAGGTATATCAGGATTCTTCCTGATACAGATCAACCGATAAACATATTTTTTTAAATGCCGAATGTTTTATAACCTGGAAAGTTACAGACGGTGCCACAGTCCAAGTATCTTCTGACTTTACCACCATGCCAGACAGACAATATATGTAAGATATATGATAAAGGCAAGACAGACAATATCTGTAAGATATATGATAAAGGCCAGACATACTGGTTTCCTGATCTGACCACAGAAGGGTATATATGTAACGGGATATAATAAAAAGGGAGCTAACTGTTCCCTTACCTGGGATTATTATATCAACAGCAAAAGGTTAACCGGATATAAGGGCGAAGGATGAGAAACTGTTCCATGACCTGATGGCAGTAGGACAGGATCTATCCTCGATACTCCAGGGGTTACGCCCACTTACGCTCTCTGCACAAAGATCTGAGTGTGACGGTGTCGTAACCCCTAGAGTATCGATGCTATGGCGGAGTGTCGAGTATCGTTCGCGTCCAATAGAGTTATGGCCCGTGAATCACTTTATCCGGGGAGTTGCTATATGTTGTATATTTTGTGACTTTCTTGGGATATCGGAGTGTCACGTATCTTAATTAGGTCTCCTCTCGTACTGATACAGAGTTATGGCCCTATTTTACTGCTCATTTTGTCCGGGCTACATATCATATACTACTTCTCATAAAACTACTAAATTCTGTATTCGAATGCCTCTTGGGATGACCTTGAATGTAGCGTACTAAATTTGGGTGTTGTGTCCGTGTCCAACAATATACAGAGTTATGGCCCTTAATTACTGTGCATCTCGTTGACAGTAAACATTTAATTCTTTGTCAACTACAATGGACAATTTTTGAGAGGGTCCCTTGGAATGGCGGGTTTTGCAGCAAATTACATATAAAGTAATGAGCCTGTGGACGTTTCGGTAGTTCAAAGGTTGGTTCTAGTTAATCGATAAATAGGGAAAATTTAGTTTTTATAAGGACAACAAAAATGAGAACATCAAACATTTCACTGCCGAAGATTTGTTGAGACAGATCATATTGATGTGTTTTGTCTCCTCACTAACTATTGGTTGAAGTTTAAATTGACCAACCTTTGAGCAGCCGGGAGGTTCAGTGGACAGGCCAGAAGATACTCGGACTGCTTCGCAATGATTTAAAAGGTTATAAAACTTTGCTAGGCACATGATTTATATCGTTTCGAGGAACTGATATGATACAAATTACTTCTGTTATTTAAGAAACCATTCTCATACTTGCTCATAAGAGGGTCCTACCAGATCAGTGTAAGCCGGTCCAGGAGCCCCGCTTTGTGATATACGTTTATATATTGAGCTGTTGTTATTTATGTATTTATTATAGTATTGTTAATGTTTTTATTGTTACCTGGTATCAGCATTAGGACATACTAACACTTATGTCAGGTGTTATTATGTTTAACATTTGTAGCGTTTTAAGTTTTTACTTGAGTGATGAATTCCATCCTTGATATTCGACGGGTAACGTTCGCTTTCGCTCTGAGTGAGCGTAACCCCAGGAGTACAGAGGACGGGTGAGTACATACGCACGCGTCAAATATAGCCAAGACAGTCGATTTTAGATATAGGATCAACATACTTTATACAAAAATCAAATGTTCATTTACTTCTCTACTAGTTTATCAAAAACGCATTTCAGTTGAACCATTAAATGCCTCATACACATTTCTGAACTTCCATTCAAACCACATGCACGGGGGCAAGGCACACACTAACTCCCTAACGTTATATCACAGGGGGCAAGGCACATATTAACCCACTAACGTTATATCACAGGGGCAAGGCACACACTACCCCCTAACGTTATATCACAGGGGCAAGGCACACACTAACCCCTAACGTTATATCACAGGGGCAAGGCACACGCTACCCCCCTAACGTTATATCACAGGGGCAAGCCACACACTACCCCCCTAACGATATATCACAGGGGCAAGGCACACACTAACCCCCTAACGTTATATCACAGGGGGCAAGGCACACACTAACCCCCTAACGTTATATCACAGGGGCAAGGCACACACTACCCCCTAGCGTTATAGCACAGGGGCAAGGCACACACTAACCCCCTAACGTTATATCACAAGGGGCAAGGCACACACTTACCCCCTAACGTTATATGCTTATATTGTGACACTATGTAAGCATACAGGGAGTGGGGGTTAGTATGTGCCTTGTCCTCGTGATTCAAACTGATTTGTTGGTAGACCGTCATGGATGGATCCTGTGTTCAGTAGACCACGGCAATTAAGGGTCCCTGTCCCATTGCAGGCAATCACTAGAGAGTTCCACTGGAGTTTCTTTTGAAACATACAGTAACCTCCCCTTAACTTCGTTTCGGTTCTTACTGTTCCACGACTGAAACAAGTTCAGTTGGTTAGAGCGACAGTTCAATGGCCGAAAGTCCAGGGTTCGAATCCTGGTTTCGTCGCTTATAAGAGTTCTAAAAACAGTTTCTAATAAACAGTTACGATTTTTGGCACTGTTATTGGGATCCTTAACGAAACACAGTCACGTATTAACAGTATACGACACATTCCTACAGTTCTTTAAGTCTGCTAAAGAACTGTTTAAAATTCGTCTATTTTCATCAGAACCGATGTTACATTCCATTTTAATTTTGGAGTACTTCAAATGATTCCAGAACAAAAATACTAAGACTTGCTAGGTTCTCTTAAGACTGGATAGATGAGTCCCAGCTAAAAAGTAATGGATACAGTTAACAATTTCCACCCGTCCGTCTCACGCCGTCGTCATCCCTCTACACCACATTCATCATCGTCAATTTAATACGACGATTTTTGACACATTTTCAGCACACTAATACCTGAACGAGTTCGCGTTTCAGGATCACAAATACAAGGTTAAGGTCACAAAGAAGATCCTGTCTTCAGGCTCGTTTCCCCCTGCATTTAATAAACTCTGTATGAGTATTCCTAACAGAAATACCATTAACGAGCACACGTGGTGGAGTCGTAACACAAACAAGACGGACGGAGTGTGCGGCCATTGGGACGATGTCACCACAACCATATAACACAATAAACGTTTAAGCATTAATTATGCTTACTTTAGTTTTGAAATGCAAGTTGCAGAAATGGGTATATGGTTCAATTAGAACTTAAAGTATCCCAAAATCAACCCTGCTGGACATCTTTGAAGGTTGACATTTTTGTGAGTGCAAGCAGCATTGGTCACGTAAGCAAATTAAATAAGATTACACTATTTCAATAAAGAAGTATTATACTGATATTGTTATTGAGATTAACTAACGGTATTTTCTATCTTTAAATGCTTTAAGCCATACCCATAACTTAAAAACCGCATGTTTCAATGCATTTAACGTCCTAAACTCATTTTTCCAGCTTAGTACCAATAATTTACAGTCGTGTTTTTCCGCCTTCTGCTGTGCATGTAGCTCATGGGTAGGTTGGTAGGTAAACTGCCTTTAAAAATCAGGTAATTATTAGCACATAGATATTGCTTCAGACGTTAACAGTGACAGAACAAAATCAAAGGTATCACTGTGTACGAAAGGGTACTTTCACAGGGGCGTGTCACTCTCAGATCTGTAGCGACACATGGGCGTGGCACTATCACGTGTGTAGCGACACAGGGGCGTGTTACTCTCAGATCTGTAGCGACACATGGGCGTGGCACTATCAGGTATGTAGCGACACAGGGACGAGGCACTCTCAGGCCTGTAGCGGCACTGGTGTGTTGCAAAAATCCCCACTCAGCGCTGGGTACTAGCACAGGGGCGTGGCACATTGCAAGGTCTGTACCGGCACAGGGGCGTGGCAGAGATCCCCAACCCACGGTCCGTATCTACAGATCATCGACCGGTGCTGTTAATGTATTGTGATATGTTGTTTTACTGATGATAGACGTTGCATCTTTTATTGCTTGTTGTTAATAGTAAATATTTTTTAAATTAAGTCAGACTTGTGTTTTGTAATAATTGCTGATTACGGAACTGTAAGTGTGCGGGCGTTTATGGCGAGTGAAAAACTGTTCACGATGTTATGCAAGGCTTGGAAAGTAAATTACTCTGATGGAAATGTAACTTTATGCAGTGAGATTTTTTATTAAAACCAGAAGAAATTTTTAGATTATCACGCTGTATTTTCAGGGTTTGTCATGAGAACAATTTTTTCATCGCTCGCATGTTGATAAAATCTCGAGTCCACCTGCGGTGGCCCTCTCGATTTTATCCACGTGTTCGCCATGAGAAAACTGTTCTCACGACAAACCCTCAAAATACTGTATGATAAACTATTCATCATCCACTACCTTATATATTTCTCCATTAAAAAAACCCTCAATTAAACACCATGTTTTCCAAATGACTTCTAAGCTCAATCAAGGATCGCCGGTGACAAACGTAAACAAATAGAAGTTTTGCGCGGAGGAATACAATGAACCTTTAAACTAAGTAGAAAAAAATATTTTGAAAACAATCCTATCGTCATTGGCTTTTCCATATGCACATTTACACCTGAAATGGTGTTGTTATTCTCACAATATTTTCCCGTAACTTTAGTTTAAACAATATTTTATTCAATAATCAACAATATTACAAACACAAATATTAATATGGGATGGGAAAACAAGCATGCAGCTGATATTAATTACTTTCTCGTAACTTTGTATTGATATGTTAATGACGGATTATTTTCTTGCGAGGATCATTTTGTGTGGACACTATTTTCGGTTTCGGACGTCATCTTGCGCGAGCAGACGTTCTGTTTTTAGAAATTACGTTCTCAAGTGCTTGGGAATGTGAAATTCCGTTCTCAAGTTCTTCTCAAGTCGTTCTGAACTTCTTCTCATACTGACAACCAATGATAATAAATGTATCATGCTACCGGTAGGTGGCATAAAGTATTATATAGATGAAAAATTATATGAACAAATTTTAATCAAAACTTTTATTACGGAAAAATTCCAGGAGAAATTTGTTTCTTTTCCGTTGTCATATACCTATAATTATGATGTGTGTTCCAATTCAAAAGTCATCGCAATAAATTCCCACTACCAAGACGCATTGCCTTAAACTGCACAAACAAAAACACGTATCCTACCGTCAAACATTGCCTAGCTGTGGTATAATAAACCCTCTACCGCGACGTATTGCCTGTTTTGTGAAACAGCATGTATCCTACCGAGACACATTGCCTGTTTTGTGATACAGCACATCTCCTATCAAAACACAATGCATGTTTTGTGATACAGCACGTCTCCTACCGAGACACATTGCATGTTTTGTGATAAATACGTCTCCTACCGAAACACAATGCCTATTTTGTGATACAGCACGTCTCCTACCGAGACACATTGCCTGTTTTGTGATACAGCAAGTCTCTAACCGAGACACATTGCCTGTTTTGTGATACAGTAAGTCTTCTACCGAGACACATTGCCTGGTTTGTATACAGCACGTCTCCTACCGAGACGCATTGCCTGTTTTATGATACAGCACGTTCTCCTACCGAGACACATTGCCTGTTTTGTGATACAGCAAGTCTCCTACAGAGACACATTGCCTGTTTTGTGATACAGCACGTTCTCCTACCTACCGAGACACATTGCCTGGTTTGTGATACAGCACGTCTCCTACCGAGACACATTGCCTGTTTTGTGATACAGCACGTTCTCCTACAGAGACACATTGTATGATTTGTGATAGAGCACGTCTCCTACCGAGACACAATGCCTGGTTTGTGAGACAGCAAGTCGTCTACCGAGACACAATGCCTGTTTTGTGAAACAGCAAGTCTCCTACAGAGACACATTGTATGATTTGTGATACAATACGTCTCCTACCGAGACACAATGCCTGGTTTGTGATACAGCAAGTCTCCTACCGAGACACAATGCCTGTTTTGTGAAACAGCAAGTCTCCTACAGAGACACATTGTATGATTTGTGATACAATACGTCTCCTACCGAGACACAATGCCTGGTTTGTGATACAGCAAGTCTCCTACCGAGACACAATGCCTGTTTTGTGAAACAGCAAGTCTCCTACAGAGACACATTGTATGATTTGTGATACAATACGTCTCCTACCGAGACACAATGCCTGGTTTGTGATACAGCAAGTCTCCTACCGAGACACAATGCCTGTTTTGTGAAACAGCAAGTCTCCTACAGAGACACATTGTATGATTTGTGATACAATACGTCTCCTACCGAGACACAATGCCTGGTTTGTGATACAGCAAGTCTCCTACCGAGACACAATTCCTGTTTTGTGAAACAGCAAGTCTCCTACCGAGACACAATGCCTGTTTTGTGAAACACCAAGCTTCCTACCGAGACACATTGTATGATTTGTGATACAATACGTCTCCTACCGAGACACAATGCCTGTTTTGTGATACAGCAAGTCTCCTACCGAGACACAATGCCTGTTTTGTGAAACAGCAAGTCTCCTACAGAGACACATTGTATGATTTGTGATACAATACGTCTCCTACCGAGACACAATGCCTGGTTTGTGATACAGCAAGTCTCCTACCGAGACACAATGCCTGTTTTGTGAAACAGCAAGTCTCCTACAGAGACACATTGTATGATTTGTGATACAATACGTCTCCTACCGAGACACAATGCCTGGTTTGTGATACAGCAAGTCTCCTACCGAGACACAATGCCTGTTTTGTGAAACAGCAAGTCTCCTACAGAGACACATTGTATGATTTGTGATACAATACGTCTCCTACCGAGACACAATGCCTGGTTTGTGATACAGCAAGTCTCCTACCGAGACACAATGCCTGTTTTGTGAAACAGCAAGTCTCCTACAGAGACACATTGTATGATTTGTGATACAATACGTCTCCTACCGAGACACAATGCCTGGTTTGTGATACAGCAAGTCTCCTACCGAGACACAATGCCTGTTTTGTGAAACAGCAAGTCTCCTACAGAGACACATTGTATGATTTGTGATACAATACGTCTCCTACCGAGACACAATGCCTGGTTTGTGATACAGCAAGTCTCCTACCGAGACACAATTCCTGTTTTGTGAAACAGCAAGTCTCCTACCGAGACACAATGCCTGTTTTGTGAAACACCAAGCTTCCTACCGAGACACATTGTATGATTTGTGATACAATACGTCTCCTACCGAGACACAATGCCTGGTTTGTGATACAGCAAGTCTCCTACCGAGACACAATGCCTGTTTTGTGAAACAGCAAGTCTCCTACAGAGACACATTGTATGATTTGTGATACAATACGTCTCCTACCGAGACACAATGCCTGGTTTGTGATACAGCAAGTCTCCTACCGAGACACAATGCCTGTTTTGTGAAACAGCAAGTCTCCTACAGAGACACATTGTATGATTTGTGATACAATACGTCTCCTACCGAGACACAATGCCTGGTTTGTGATACAGCAAGTCTCCTACCGAGACACAATGCCTGTTTTGTGAAACAGCAAGTCTCCTACAGAGACACATTGTATGATTTGTGATACAATACGTCTCCTACCGAGACACAATGCCTGGTTTGTGATACAGCAAGTCTCCTACCGAGACACAATGCCTGTTTTGTGAAACAGCAAGTCTCCTACAGAGACACATTGTATGATTTGTGATACAATACGTCTCCTACCGAGACACATTGCCTGTTTTGTGATACAGCACGTTCTCCTACAGAGACACATTGTATGATTTGTGATAGAGCAAGTCTCCTACCGAGACACAATGCCTGATTTGTGAAACAGCAAGTCTCCTACCGAGACACAATTCCTGTTTTGTGAAACAGCAAGTCTCCTACCGAGACACAATGCCTGTTTTGTGAAACACCAAGCTTCCTACCGAGACACATTGCCTGTTTTGTGATGCATCACGTCTCCTTTCGAGTCACATTGCCTGTTTTGTGATAAAGCACGTTCTCCTACCAAGACACATTGCCTGTTTTGTGATACAGCACGTCTCCGTCCTAGACACATTTCCTGGTTTGTGATACAGCACGGGTCCTACCGAGACACAATGCCCCTACCGAGACAATTTGCCTGGTATGTGATACAGCAAGTCTCCTACCGAGGCACAATGCCTGTTTCGTGAAACAGCAAGTTTCCTACCGAGACAAAATTCCTGTTTTGGGATACAGAAAGTCTCCTACCGAGATGCAATGCCTGTTTTGTGATACAGCACGTCTCCTACCGAGACACAATTCCTGTTTTGTGAAACAGCAAGTCTCCTACCGAGATACAATGCCTGTTTTGTGAAACAGCAAGTCTCCTACCGAGACACCTTGCCTGTTTTGTGATACAACATGTCTCCTACTGAGACGCATTGCTTGTTTTATGATACAGCTCGTATCCTACCGAGACACAATGCCTGTTTTGTGATACAGCACGTCTCATACCGAGACACAGTGCCTGTTTTGTGATACAGCACGTCTCATACCGAGACGCATTGTTTGTTTTATGATACAGCCCGTATCCTACCGAGACACATTGCCTGTTTTGTGATACAGCACGTTTCCCACCGAGACACATTGCCTGTTTTGTGACATTGCACGTCTCCTACCGAGACACATTGCCTGTTTTGTGATACAGCAAGTTTCCTACCGAGACAAATTGCCTAGTCCCGACACTTTGAGTCATTCAGATATTACGGAATGGCCAAGCATTACGATTACTTTACCTTTGCTCTATCTCTTTGCTCTTGATTTTAGGATAAGGACCCCAATTTGGTTAAGCTGTCATTATACATTCATCTACGAACGTATCATTAAAATATTGAACTATGAAGAAACTGTAGTTCGGTCAAGCATTGCATTATTTGATATTCGGTGGAATAAACTAAGACATATTACACGTGACATATCGGTCAGTTTAGATACAACCGTATAGGAATTAAATGTGAAAATATGTAGTCGTTCATGA